CCCAGCCCTTCACTAGCAATTTAATCACATGTTTTCAAGATCCGTTCATATCCAAGGCTGGCTAGAGGAAGGTACCTCAGGAGCCAGTTTACTCATAGTCCACCATCATTATACAGAAAAGTCACTTCACTAACATCTCTACCCCAGGGACAGTAGGGAGAATTCCTTAATAATAAAAATAGGATTTCTAAAAGATCCTAATAAATAAGAAGAGAAGGACATTTCTCTTTAAGTTAATTGAGCTCCCCTTGCTGAAACAAACAGCCAAGCAAAAGAAAAGGCAACTAGTGTTTGTTAAGTAACTACCATGTTACAGATATTAGACTAAATAGGCTTATTTAGGTCTCACTGAGACCTAAGCATTATTATCCTCCATATCAACAGTGCCAGTATGACCAAAGTACGTGAAGTAAATGCCCAGAATTTCCAGAACCGAGACTCAAACTAAGCTCTCTAGCCCCCAAACTCATGTTCCTTCTGTACTTTCCACTGAAGGGATGAATTCTGTAATGAGAAGTTAATGCTTCCTAGCAAGCTAAAATGCAATCTTTAAAATTTTCAGAGTAATGGGCACTCTGGAAAATTCACAGTTACAAAGCATGATTTCTGCCTTGGGACAACACAATATCAGAGAGGAAGAAGAGAAGGAAAGTTGGAGACACAAATCTACATTCAAGGTAGAATATTCTAAATACTATATAAAAGCACCAAGAGTTTAGGAAGAGAACAATCACATCTGGCTGAGGAGAGAAGTCCAGAGAGGCCTCAGGAAGGAGCTGGCTGCAGGGTAGGAGGCTCTGCATAGTAGTAGGGGGGAAGGGCATTCCAGAGGGAGAATAGGGCTGGGATTGTGGCTCAGCGGTAGGGGGCTCGCCTAGCATAGGCAGGACCGGGTTCGATCCACCACATACAAGTAAAGACATTGTGTTGTGTCCATCTACACCTAAAAAATAAAAAATATATTAAAAAAAAAAAAAAACAGAGGGAGAAGAAAATATGAGGGGGAATCTAAAGGCAAGAAAGCAAGGAACCTATTCAGACTGGTTGGCCATGGGGCATATATAAGGAGCCAGAGGCAGAATAGGCCCTAAGGGAAACTTGGACAATACAAAGCCATTGAAGACTTTTGTACCAAGGAGAGAGAGTACCATGAAAAAGACCCCTCTTAAGATAGAGAACTGGAGGAAGAAAAGAGCTATTACAACACAAATGCAGTGGCCACTGGAGAGGTGGGAGGGTGGGACAATAGGAATGGCAGGGAGGGGACTGACAGATGAGACACTGAAGAAGATTCCATCAAGTTTAGTGGTTTGAGGTGGCAGGAGACTAAGGAACCCAATTTTCAAGTCTACAGGACTGGAAAATAGTGAGCATTAAAATAATTCGGGGAACTTTTAAATGGGATTTGGGAAGGGTAAATGTTATGGCTTGAATGAGGTGCTCCTCCAAAGCTCCTGTGTTGATGCAGGAATATTCAGAGTTGAAATTATGTATTCTGAGACCTGTAACCAAATCAGTCCATCCTAGTTTGAATGTCTGACTGGGTGGTAACAGTAGGCAGGTGGGGCATGGCTGGAGGAGGTGGGTGGGTCACTCAGGTGTGCCCTTGAAGGATATCTCTTCCCTGTGGCCCCTCCCACCCCTGGCTTCCTGGCCACCTTGAGCCTAGCAGCACTCCTCCACCACACCCTTCCACCATGAGGCTCTGCCTCACCTCAGGCTCCGAGCAATGGAGCTGACCCACCAAATCAGACTAAATCTCTAAAACCGTGGTCCAAAATAAACGCCTCTAAGTTGTTCTTGTTGGGTATTTTAGTCACAGTGATGAAAAGCTAACTAATATTGGTAACAAGAAGCATAGTGAGGAGATAGGCAGAGCAGACAGGGCACAGTGCCAAGCAATGATCATGAAAAGCAGTGCAGGAAACAGGAGTCTAACTGAGGCTACCCAGCAGGTAGCTGGAATCAGGAGAAAGGACTCCAGAAAAAACAGATGAAGATGGACTGCAGAGAATCACGCAGAAATGACAGCTGAACACAGAGGGATTTACATCCCCATCCCTTTTTATTTTGAATCCAGGATCTAAGTTGCCCAGGCTGACCTGGAACTTGTGATCCTCCTGCTTTAGCCTCTTGAGTAGCTGTGAATATAAGCCTGTGCTACTGTGCCCAGGTACATTTTTTTTTTTTAAGACAGATAAGATGGCAAAGAATAAAAAAGCTGGAAGAGCATACAACAAAAGCTAACAGTCATTATCACCAAATGACAGGTTTAGCCATGTTTATTTAGTGCTATGCACCAAGCATTGTTGGAAGTACTACAATATATTAATTTTACATTTCAGACTCAAATAGGGAGAGAGCCAGGTGTAGTGGTGCTCACCTGTAATCCCAGCGGCTCAGTTCAGGAGGCTGAGGCAGGAGGATTGTGAGTTCAAAGCCAGCCTCAGCACCAGCAAGGCGCTAAGCAACTCAGTGAGACCCTGTCTCTAAATACGATACAAAATAGGGCTAGGGATATAGCTCAGTGGTTGAGTGCCCCTGAGTTCAGTCCCTGATTACCCCCCTCCCAAAAACAAAAAAAGATAGAAAAGGAAGACATATTACAAGACACTTGAAAATGAGTAGCTAAGAAGGAGGGGCCATGGAGACAGCGACACTCTTTAAAAACAGGGAAGAAAATCATTTTGTCCCACAGCTACAGCAAGTAACCTGGATCTCAGCCAGTCATCAAGGCCACTGGGCAGATATGCTCAGCTCTAGGCAAACGCACAACAGTGGCAAAAGGGCTTCCAAACAAAGGCCTCAGTGATGACCGAGTTTTAGATACCTTAAAGGGTGAGAGAGCTTCACTGAAAACTTCCTGCATGAGAAGAAACACGGCTTGATGGTATTCTGTTACTTCAGACTTACTCAGCATTACATTTGTTGGTAAGATGGCCAGTTATTTACTGACGACCACAAATTCCTCCTCTTTATGTTTCTTTATGATCTGATCCCAGTGTGCCACCCAGAAGTGGGGAAAGTGCTGTCTCCAGAAGGCTAAACACCCTCTTCCTGAAACGTGCAGCTCAGATCAGTCTGAAGTAGATACCACACAGAATCACAGGGCACATTCTGGAGAGCTTCTGTTTGTTTGTTTGTTTGTTTGTTTGTTTGTTTTTTATTTTTGTCCATGGCTTTACTCAGCCATGTTTCCCATACTATAAAATTCACCCATTTAAAGTATATAGTTCACTTTTCATTTATTCAGAGTTTTTTGACAATCATCATAACCTAATTTAATGATTTATGTCTAACATTCTAAAAAGAAACACTTTGCTTATTAGCAGTCATACTAATAGTAGCTGAGACCTTCCCCGACTACCTCCTTACATGCAGAGGCCACTCCTACCCTCACCCAAGCCCCAGCTGACCAGGTTTTTGAGCTTTTTAATCTACAGATAACAGCCCCCACCCTGACCTCCCAAATCAAAACCAATGCATGAGCGGAGCTAGTATCTGTACTTGGCAAATGTACTGCCTGAATGGTTCCCACAACTTTCCTGTCAAGAACCATGACAGCTGACACTTATTTAGGACTCAAACAACTGTAGAGTGAGTATACGGAATAAGCAGAGTTGAGGTTGCTAAGAACCCTTCTATTTCTAATAAGCAATATTACACTAATGAAATAGAAAGTTGATTATTTATTGATTGATTTAATTTATTTTTGGTGCTGGGGATCAACCCAGGGCCTTGCATACACTAAGCACACACTTACCACTGAGCTATACCCCCAGTCAGAAAGGGGACTTTTAAAATTAAGGTTATTAGGATGTAGGGACTAAATCCTTTGTAATTTACTCAATTATCTGTTTTTTCACTCATAGCACTCACTACCATAGTTATTCTTCTAGAATCAACTTGCAGCCTGCTTCTGAAATGAGTCTCTTACATCGCCAGTCCTTGAAGGCAACTCAAAGAAGCCAACTAGAGATCTGACAGCATTCTTTACCTGCCAGGCAGCAAGTTCAAATCCCTCATCAGCCAACTAAGGCCCTGAGTTATTGCTGCCCATCAAAGCAAACCCTGGAGGCAGGAAATTGGAAAGCAATGTATATAACTCCTCTCTAAGCAAGGACAGAAAGCTGACTAAACACATTGCACAGAGCAACTAGTGCGCAGAGGGAGATAGATTGAGACTTCAGTTAACAAACTCAATGTCTACAACAATGAGCAAAGTGTGAATTAAGGTGTATTTTTTTAAAGTGGCTGCAAAGAAAAAGAAATGTTCCAACAAATATTAAAGTAAGGGCAGTGATTACTTGTACTTTAGATGAGGCGAGAAGAAAAGTCATGTACACACAAGTGCTAAACTAAATGTTTTTAGATATCCACCTGCGCCCTGGATTTTACAACTTCCCAAAGGAAAATGCTTATGCAAATAATGAGCCTGAGCCTTGGAGACACTAAGCCTGAGAAAGTATCTCAGCCCATTCACGAAGTTTATGTTTCCTTGTATACACAGAGTCACTTTCCCTCCCCCTTCCTATTCTTCCTGTGTATGTGAACACAATGACCCCTACTTCTCTTTTCTCCTTAAACCTGTCATATGGACTAATGTACTCTTCTTTCTACAGAATTAAGTCAACAGCTTGGTCTTGGCACTTAATCTTATTATTATTATTTTTTTTTTTTTGTCTTTTTTGGAACTGGGGGTCAAAGCCAGGGCTTTGCCAATGCAAGGCAGACGCTTTGCCACTGAGCTACATCCCAGCCCTGATAAGCTAGCTTTTGATCATTAGGATGTATGACACCACTAAACAGCCACTCCCCTCTTTCTGAAAATGAGATCATTCACATTTTGTACCAAAGCATCAAACCTGTTCCAATCAGTCAGGAACTAATTCTTCATACAGAACATTTCTCTTCCAAGCTGGAGGAAACAAAGGAACACAGAGCTAAATGTTCCCATTACAGGGACAGCCCAAGGGGTGAGCAGGAATAGTGGCACTCACCTCTTCAGCTCTGCGATGAGCAGCGCAGTACAAGGAACCCCCAGAGTCATCAGAGAGATGTTGTTGATGGCGGGCTTGACAAACGCCAGGCATGTTGTAACCACAGACAGGACACAGACCACCGCCTTGAATCTGCCCCTAAATCCATGGAAGCAAAACCAAATCTGTTAGCTAAAGAGTTCTTGATCATTTTGTTTGATTAATGTTGGCCAGGTACAGCCACTGCTATTCATGTGAGCTAAAATGAACTTGTGTTCAAAGTACCCACGTGTGCAAGCCATTCACACTCACTGGATCAGCAAACCCATTTCTAGGAATTTATTCTTGGGAAATAATCAGAGCTTCTCAAAATTGTTAGCCATGACAATGGTAAAGCTAGAATCAACCTCAGTCTCTGGGGGTGAGATATGGATAATCATTCTCCTGGTGTGAATTTCCTATAAGTTTTCAGATGTTCTGCATCAGGGTTTGACAAATGTTCTCTGTAAAGGTTCAGATAGTAAGTATTTTTGATTTTACATGCCATGAGTTCTCAGCCACAACTATTCAACTCTGCTACAATAGAAGGTAAGTGTGTTAGTTTTGTGCCACTATGACCAAAATATCTGTCAAGTACAAGTTAAAGGAGGAAAAGTTTATTTAGGGCTTACAGTTTCAGAGGTTCAGTCCATGTTTGGCTGACTCCATCGCTCTAGACCTGGTGAGGCAGAACATTGTGGCAGAGGAAAACTACTCAGCCCATGACAGCCAGGAAACAGGGTGGTTGAAGTACCAGGAACAAAATATAAACCCCAAAGGCACACTCCAAGTGATCCACTTCCTCCAGCTACCCCCACCTCCCTACAGTTACCACCCAGTAATCTATTCAAAACATTAAGCCATGAAATGCAATAATCCACTGATTAAGTTATGGCTCTCATAGTCTAATCCTTTCACCTCCTATATTAACACAGGAGGTTTTTTTTCATATCCAAACCATAAGTAAATTAATGGCCATTTCTGTGTGCCAATAAAATTTGATTTGCAAAAAGAAGACCCATGTGGTCTACAGGACATAGCTCACCAACCTCTGTCCCACCAAGTGAACATGTAGGACTTTTATGAGAAAAAGCAGAGACTGTTAATAAACCATAAAGCTTCTTAGTTTAAGATGAAAAAAAAAAGTCTACATATCTAGCACACAAAACTGAAAATTCTAAAAATATATGTATCTACTGACAACCTGCACATCTGGTAGGCACTAGAATTTGTCTTGACAGGCTCTTAACATGACAAATCTTGGAAAAGTCATTAATACTCTCCTCACACCCCTCAGTAGAGGTCACTCCAGTGGAAAAGAGTCAGAAGTGGCGACGTGATCCTGCACATGCTGCTTCCTCCCTCCTGGGGACCCCATTTCCTGATCTATAAAATGGAAATGCCGGACCAGACGATCTCCAAGGCCTCATCTGTGACTTAAATTGAGGAGCACATGATTTTCCTGAAATTTCTGTTATTCCCCATTAGCAGAATTTGCTTTGGCCAAAAGCCTTAGAAGAGATCACGGTTAGGAAATTAATTGGAATGAAATTCTATTATAAAGAAATCAAAGGGCATTGAACATTCAAAATACAAATTTATCTCTTAAATAGGAAAACCATTTATCATCAAGGCACGGGAAATCATTGATCAAGCTGCCAACTTTCTGACTGGAATGAACACGCCTTATAGCCCTGAACTTTTACCAGAGGAAAAAATACATATTGGAAAAGATCCAGGCAGCAAATCCTCAGAAGAATTATGTTTTTCTCCTGGCCTTAGCTGGGTTCTTCTGCAACTGGATGAAAAGCTGCCTTCTGTAGCACCAGGGTCAGCCATCATGTGCCTGACCCTGGGGACACAAAACAGACTCATTCACTGGGTTTGAGGTTCTGACATGTCATCCTATTTGGCCTTGTGGGTTTTTTTTTTTTTTTTTTTTTTTTTTTTTTTTTTGTTCTGCTCCATTCTTTCTCCTCTCCTTCTGGGATGCTCCTTACATGTATTTATTTACCTTCTCACTACATTGCCTGAATCCCTTACATTTTCCTACACATTTTCCACCTTTTCGTCTCTTTGGGTTTTTCTGAAATTTTTTCTTTACTTTTTTTTAATATTTTTTTGATTGGATAAACACATAATCAGAAATTTTCAAAATGTATCAAGTCAATGTACCTAATGATTAGGACTCAGTTACAGGTAAGACTGGGGAACAGGGTGATTAAAAACATAGGTGTTAGACTGGGGTCGTGGCTTAGTGGTAGAGCACATTGTCTAACATGTGTGAGGCACTGAGTTTGATTCTCAGCACCACATATAAATAAATAAAATAAAGATCTATATATAACATATATATATATATATATATATTTTTTTTTTTTTTAAAAGGCAAGGTGTTTCAGCTAGACATTTGGGTGTTCAAATCCTGCCCTAATCACTTAGTAGCTGTGGAGCCTTTAGAAAGTAACAATTTTTCAAGTCTGTTTTTTTTTTTTTTTCGTTGCAGATGGACATAATATCTTTATTTTTATTTATTCATGTTTATGTGGTGCTGAGGATCAAACCCAGTGCCTCACACATGCTAAGCAAGTGCTCTACCACTGAGCTACAACTACAGCCCACAACTCTTCAAATCTTTCCCATGTAAAAACATGAAAGCACCAGTACCCATGATATTCTTCTAAGCATGAAAGCACATAACAGTGCCTGGTACATGTTATGTATTAAGAAAACAACTATTACCATTCTCTTTATCATCATTTTGAGGACAAATACTGTTTAAAAAATATTATTCTTGTTGATAATATCACACTCTCAGGAAGAATCTGGCAGAGCCTGTGCTGCAATCCCCAGGGTCTCTGTATAACATTGCCAAATTGTTCAAAGGCTTGGGCTTGATGAAACATGTTTTTAAGGAGACTATCCACAGACATCTCCCCACATCAGGTCCAGAGAGTATGGAGGAATGTTCTGGCCAATGAGGACATCCCGTGAACACACAATTCTGCAACCAGCAAAAGTAAACAGAGGTCATGTGGCCAACAGAAAGCCAGATAGCCCAGCAGACCCAAGTTATCAGAGGTCCCTGGGACAACAGATTTCAACAACTCTAGAAATTTCCAGAGAAGAGGGGCCTGACAGGGTGTTTTCTAAACTGTAAAACAGTATTTCGTCCTGTTTTCAGTTTTCCAGCCCATAGGATCTCATACTGGAACACAAGTTCAGGGAACCCATGGTACTCTTCTTCCTTTTTTCTCCAAACCAAAATCTGGCTACCCAGTGCCATTATCATAATATTATAATAACAAATATGTGACTAAAATCATTAGCTACCCTTAATCCAGTGGTTTTCAACCCTATCAAACCCTGTCATACTCCTTTTTTATATTAAATATTTGGTAGTGTCCCTTTAACTCTTCTGAAATAATATGGAATTTATGGATGATAAAACCTGCCATCATTGTGACCACCAAATACATGTCCACAAACTTCCCAAATGTCCCTTAAGAGAAGGAAATATTCCTGGTTAGGATCCACTAACTATTAGGAATAGAGCATAACCTATTTATAATAGAAAGCCTTGATATTTACAGTAGTACAGCATTTGACCCTAGAAGAGATCTCAGAAAAAAGTGCAACCCTGTCATTTCAAAATCAATGAGGAAAGGCCCAGAGAGTTTAAGATTCCGGCCCCAGGATGTCTGGCAACTGAACTAGAAGGACAGGTAGATCTCAGCCTATTCCCTTGCTATACGATTCAGAAATGAAGTGGGTTATAAAGTGAGAGTTTTTCCTGGATTCTGTGGAGGCAAATAATAAAAAGCACATATCAAGATAAATTATTTTTGTTTTTTCTCAAAACAAAAATATATAAAATTATTAATAACCATTAACAGCTGAGTGTATATACTAAAGATGCTAAGCAAGATAAAAGAAAGCCTTTCTTTTAATCCACCAATCTTATTGACAAAATGAATGTTAATAATTTACCTATTTAATCTAAACATGCTTATTTCCCACTTATTCAGCCATTTGTAATGGCTAATAAGTGTTCGTACTTATTGAGTTCTTATTCGTATGAGGCACCACTATACTATACGCATCATTTCATTTTCTCATTTATTTCTGATCCCATGAAGTAGCTAATTTTACTACCTCTACTTTACAGTGAGCAAAATAAGGTACCAGAGTTTTACAGGGAAAAATGGATTATGATTCAAAGCCATATCTGTCTATGTGATCCAAACTCATTTAGCCACCGTACTCTACTTCCTCTTCTCTAAAAATCTCACACTGGAACTACTTTTTTTTTCCCCCTCTCAATACTGGAATTGAATCTAGGGGCACTTTACCACTAAGCTACATCCCCAACCCTTTTATGCTTTTTCTTCTACGACAGAATCTTGTTAAGTTGCCCAGGCTTGCCTCAAACTTGGGATCCTTCTGCCTCAGCCTCACATGTAGCTGGATTTACATGCTTACACCATTACATCCAGCTGGAACTACTCTTTACATGTGTTAGGAATATTCCAGCAAAGTCTAGAAAAAAAATGAGGCAGGTAAATAAATATTAACTATCTAGTAAGTTAAGGCAGCCAACCCAGGCAATCCTGGTCTACAGAAATCCTGCTTTTGATATGAATTCTTTTTCTGGCCTGACACTTAATTCTACTGCAGAACATCCACCTGTCCCTGCCATGGGCAGGGAAGCCCATGCAAAAAGGTCTGACCATCACTGGCAAAGTGAAGACAGACAAATTGATCTGAAATCCTTATTTTTTCCCTTAACATACACCATTTTTTCTTTGTTCATAAAAATTCTCCATGGCAATTCTCTTCCTGCATTTGTGCACATATCTCAAAAATCCTAGACTGAACTCTCTTCTCTGTTCACCACTGGCAGCATTATGAGCTAATTTGAGTACTGGCCATGTCACTTAGTACTGTACAGAGTGCTCTTCAGGATCATCTCAAAGAACCCTGAGGTAAGTACTATGTATTACCTACAATTACAGATGAAAGAGCAGAGTCAAGACTAGATATATAGTTTGTAAGCAGTAAGGCTGACATTCAAATCTGAATGGTACCCAGAGCCATGGACTCATACATATGTGGTATTCAGCATCTTAAAAGGACCCTCCCCATATGAGGACAGAGCAGTCATATCTTTACCTCTTCCCCAGAGAAATGCCACATCATACTAGTGATAGAAAAATCCCACATGGCCACAGACATCTCTGCCTCGTAGTATGTTTTCATTATTAAAGTTAGGAAGCTTTAATTACCAATGCATTACCCCATTTTCTTTTCCTGTTCATAACAACATGCCGCTAATCCTACCTCTAAGAAACAAAAAGAAACTTTTTTTATATAATTAACGCAATTAAAGCTGTCACTTGGGTTTTGTGGGGGGTGGGGGGGTGGGTGTGTGGGGGTGTATGTTGTGTGTTGCTGAGGATTGAACCCAAGGCTTCACACTGGGCATGAGGAAAGCACTCTACCACTGAGCTACATCCCCAACCCCTGTCACTAGGAATCTCAACCCAAGTCTCCAGAATGCAACATAAATAAAACCCTTATTTCCATTTCTTCAGTTCCTCACTTGGGTCCCCAGACTTGAGGTGAGTTCTGAAGGAAAAGTAGTTTTTTGATATGAATTCTTTTTCTGGCCTACCTCTTAAATCTACTGCAGAATGCACCAGGCTCCAGGAAAGGACACTGGGACTGGCAAGGCACCTTGGGAGAGAGTAAGAAGGGCCAAAAGGCAAATGGTTTGCTTTTTAGGCAGTCACAAAGTTCCTGCCTACGAAAACACCTTCTGACCCTGCCTGCTGCTCACACCCACTCCCCTGCCCTTACTAGGTTTCTCCTAAAGCTGAACAAAGAAACCAAAGAACAAGGAACAGGAGATAGCTGAAACCAACATTTTAAAGCAACTTTCTGGGGCTGGAGCTGTAGCTCAGTGGTTAAATAGATGCTCAGCATGTGCAAGGCATGTGCATGCGTTCTATTCTTAGCACACACATACATACACACACACACACACACACACACACACCCCAAAAAACTTAAGCATCCTTTCTCTGCTAACTAGAAAGCCTCAGCAAGATAGAGACCACATTTAATTCAAGATCAGGAATTTCTCTCCTTCTCATTTTTTTTTTTTTTTTTTTTGTTAAGTAAACTTCTTGAGGGTATTTCTATCTGTTAGATGATACTCAAAGATAACACTATGTAATTCAAGTCCTACTTCCCAGGATAAAGGCTTTACAGCTAATCCACTTAAAGTGTATTTTCTCCCTACTTCATTTAAAAAGAAAATTTTAGTGTTAAAATTAACATGTACTCCTTGTTTAAAAAAAAAATCCAAGCCAGTTCAAACTAAAGATAAAAGTGCAAGTTGAAGCTCTTCTCTACCACAATGCTCAAGAATAGCCAATGGCAGGAGCACGGTATCCCCATCCTCCCAGACATGTTTGTGCACATAGAAAAACATACTCAAGAAGAATTTAACTCATTCATTCTAAAATTAGGATATCTGACACACAATTCTAGAATGTGCTCTTTGCAGCCAGTATTTCCATAGACACTCCTCCACCTCAGCCCACTGGAGCAGCCTCAGTCTTCAACCGCTGCATAGCTCCTGCTCCTTTTCAGAGTTCCTGAAAAACTATAATGAATTATTTTGTTCTCCTGGCATAACTCTTCCCTGCTTGCTTCATTAATCCATATTTTATTCATCCATAGACTGCATGTATTTCAATAAACCACCACGTTCTGCAGAGTAATATGTGGGTGATGTGTTTGGGGGACATTTCTCATCTTTATTAGCCTGCCTCTCCTCTGCCTGCAAATGGTAACAAACCTCACACAACTCCTCAGCAGAGCTCTCTCTGACCAGACTCGAAGTCAGCACCCCAAGCCACTGCTACATCCTTCCCACCCTCGCTTTTTCAACATAGACCTTCTCACGCTCTAACATGACATTATTTGTTTGTTGATTTATAGACTCTCAACTTCAGTACAAGCTCTTTAGAACAGAAACCCTGTCATTTTGTTTACTGCTACCTCCCAGTACTTAGAAAAGTGCATGGTATAAAATAAGTGTTTAAATATATTTACTATTTATTATTAAATAATAAATATTTACTATTTATTATTATAAAGACTTAATACAATGGATATTAAAATGCATCTCTTCCTGATATTCTTGGGTTTCCTGCTTGGAAATATGTGTGTGTGTGTGTGTGTGTGTGTGCATGCATGCCTGTGTTTGTGTGTGTGTGTGTGATCAGAAGCCAAAAAAAAAACAATGCAATTTGAAAACCAGCTCTATAGCTCCAAGAATCAGATCATCAGCGTGGATTCTACTTTATATGTATAGCACTGCTGGAGTTGGATTGCATTCAAAGAAAAGTTCTAGCAGGAAATCAAAGGTGTTTGAGCTACTATCCCAAAATTTCTCTCCCATTGAATGTCTTTCCACTGTTGCTTGTATCAGACAAGTATTAGATATTTGACTTTTTGTCTCTACCATTTTATAAATTCTTTCCCAAGTGTTATGAACTCGTCTTCTTTTATCTGTCAGTTTAACTGTACTGTCAGATCATAAAAATCAATGGACATTAAACAAATATATGATTTTTATCACTAGGTTAAGCTCAATCATCAGCTATTTTTCTTGATGTGCATACACACTGTGCAAAGAGCAAAAGTGTTCAACATAAGCTTACCTGTCATTCCTAAAGATCTTTGGCAGATACCTTCGGGGGAACCACATGGCCAGAGCACACATCAGAACCCAAAGGATTGCAAGCTCATCGAGCATCTGACCCAGGAAACTTAGGGTTGCATGGAAATAGACAGATCCAATTCCTATAGCAAATTATAACCAAAAAAAAAAAAAAAAGGTCACCACAGAAGAACAGACTACAAATTCAATTCACTGCCTAAGAAAGCCCTTCCCTAACTGTTATCAGAATCGCCAGATCTCTTAAGAAACTCACACCACCAACACATGCAGACTTCACTCAAGCCTAGCAAGAGGATTTCAAATACAGCCCAAATACCAGCACATCAGAACAGTAATAATTGCACAGTTAAGTACAATGTTTTCATCCACAGAGCCTTTGTGGGAACAGGCAGTAAATAAAAGTCAACATTGTTTCACTGTTAAGAATTCCCAACCTGCCTAGGAGAGGAAATGGAAATTGCACAAGAATTTCACAAAACAATGAGGGACACAATGTCTAGTTTTTTTGTTTTTGTTTTTTGTTTTTCAATTTAAGTGCATTGGAAACCACAGTCTCACCAGAATTCAATTGTTTCACACAACTTTCTTCAGAGAATTGCACTGGCACAACATGAATGGCTAATTCACAAAGAAGTCTCAAACACAGCCAGGAGATAACGACAGCCAGCCTTGTTATCAAGCCTGCATTCGAGACTCCTGACTCTTACTTTTGCTGCCAAGCAAGTGAAAGAGTTTACTAAGACGTCACAGTGGCTTTGGTTTATAAAACACTGTGTTCAAAGGGGACAGGAAAAGTGCAGAATCCCATTTCCTCCCTTTCAGTTCACGTTCCCACATGATCCACTTACCAACTACTACTAGGAGAGTCCATATTAAATAGATGCCACTGTTGAAGCATGTGGCATACTGACGAAACAAGCACATGCAGATGGGCGGTAAAATGAAAAACAAGACGTTGCTGATCTGGAGGAAAAATAAATTGCAAAACAAAAAGATGTTTTTGTGCACAGATTAATTACGAAGCATTCTTACTTGTAATTATCTTTTTAAAGATAAGGTCTATACTAAATAATGATTTTTTTTTTTCGTACCAGAGATTGAACCTAGGGTCACTTAACCTCTGAGCCACATCCCCAGCCCATTTTTTATTTTGAGACAGGCTCTCACTAAGTTGCTTAAGGCTTCACTAAATTGCTGAGGCTGGCTTTGAACTTGTAATCCTCCGGCCTTAGCCTTCCAAGTAGCTGGGATTACAGACAGGCATGTGCTACCACATCCAGCTGCTCCCAACAATCTTCTGCCAAGGAGACCAGCCCTTTTTCCCAGGCTCAAAATACATCAGATCTCTAAGTTTCTCCTTAGTCACCCTTTTTCAGCTTTCTCTTCTTAAACATATCTTTAGTAAAGATCAAATTTGTAATTTTCTTCCCAACTTTCAAATGAGATCATTGTAGGGGCTGGTGATGTAGCTCAGTGGCAGAGTACCTGCCTAGTATGCATGAGGCCCTGGGTTCAATCCTGGCACTGAAGGGGAAAAAAAAAAAGATAAACTGAGCATTCCGTTCTTTAATTTAATTTAATAGTGTGTCTTATTGGACGCAATATATTCCAAATATTATAGTTTGAATATGCAATCAGTATTAAAATATCATCAGCCAGGCTTAGCAGCACATGTCAACAATCCCAGCTACTCTGGTGGTTGAGGTAGGAGAGAGGATTTCAAGTTTGAGACCATTGGCAATTTAGGGAGACACTGTCTCAAAAAAATTATTTTTAAATTAAAAATAAATAAATATAAATATTATAAATAAATATAAATATTATTGATGAGAATCTTTACATTCTTTTGTTCTCACTAAGGATTCAAACTCTAGTGTACACTTTGCACATACAGCAACCCTCAGTTTGGGCTAGCCTCGCTTCCTGTGATAATGGCCACATGTGGTCACAGTCTGCCATATTGAAAAGCATAACTCTAGAACTTCACCTCTCATTTTAAATTTATTGGTTTTTTTGTTTTGTTTTGTTTTTTGGTTTTGGGTGTTTTGGTGGGTTTTTGTTGTTGTTGTTGTTGTTGTTGTTTTCCAGGAACTCACAGACAGCTTTTATTTCAAGAATTTTTAAAATTGAAGCAAAATTCACATACCATAAAAATAACCATTTTAAAGTATACAGTTCAGTGGAACTTAGCACATTCATATTGTCAGCCATTACCTCTACCTAATTCTAAAATGTATTTATTACCCAGAAAGAAATCCTGGGTTGCCACTCTCCATTCCCCTCTCCCAGCACCCCTAGCAACCACTAATCTGCTTTTGTTCTGTGGATTTACTTATTCTAGATATTTCAGATTTATGGAATTACACACTATATGACCTTTTGTGTCTGGATTCTTTCACTTAGCATGATGTTTTTAAGGCCAAAGTCATGAGAGCAGAGCCTCTGGAATAGGATTAGCACTCTTAGAAAAGAGGTGCCCAGGAGTTGCCCACCCCTTCCACCACATGAGGACTGCAGGAAGTCACATCCATGAAGCAGAGAACCCTTTCCAGACAACAAATCTGTTAGTATCCTGATCTTGGACTTCCCAGCCTCCAGGACTGTGAGAAATAAATTTCTGTTGCTATAAATTATCCAGTTTAAGATATTTTGTGATAACAGCAAGAACAGACCCAGGCACTGAGTAATTCTATGTTCAATTGATTACGGAATTACAAAACTATTTCCTCCAGCAGGTGGGTTTTGTTTTTGTGTGCGTGGTTCTGTTGTGTTTTGCTTTGTTTTTTACCTTCCCACCAGCAATGCACAAGGGCCTACCTAGCCTTGCCTAACACTTGTTATACTCTGGTTTTTGTTTTTAAACTAAGGCCATCCTGGAAGGTGAGCAGAGGTAGGAATTTTCAGTGATTGAAGCTCATCTAACTGCAGAATGAGGAGGGCCTTGCCTGGGACTCTGCCCACAGAAGTGCATACGGGGGTGAAGACAACAGCTGAGTCAAAATGAGCATTATTGATGGGGATGGAGTAGGAGGGTTCATGGAACAATATTTTAAGAAAAAAGAAGGTTTCAGAGATGGGCAGATGAAGTCTGGGAAGCACAGGCACAAAGGCTTTCAGAAGAAAGGAGTAGTCATCCATGTTGGATGATACAGGAAAGCCATTAGAGGACACCTCAAAGGAACCATGAGGGTGGGCTCCTAGCCTGAGCTGTAGGGGCAGGGTAGGCAGAGGGTGTTCCTGGGGGTGGGGAATCACAATGGTGCACAACTAAGTTAAATGTTTCAGCAAACCCCAGAACTCAGAAGCCAACACCTTCTGTGAGTGACACAGTATTTAGAAAGGAAAGAAAGACAGAGTAGAAGAGAAATAAAACAAGCGAAGAGAAATACAAAATCCTTTGTCAGGGCAGGATAGGGTCAGGGCTACTGCCTGTAGTTAAAATCTAGGACTGAGGGGTGGTACGCTCAGTGGTCCAGCAGTTGCCTGGCACAGACAAGGCCCTAGGTTTGATTCCCAACACGGAGACTTTCAGTCTTGGAAATAAGCCAGTTTTAATTTGCCAATAAGGAAGGAAGGAAGAATCAGGGCAAAGGTTGACATACTGTATACACAGTACATTTGCTTTCATTGTTGCGATCATAATCTTTAATTTTCAATGGAACCATTTAAAAGAGCAGAGATATTTGTGGGTAAAATGAAGGGACTTCAAAGCCACCCCTTGCTTTAAAAGGGGATACAACTGAGGCCCAGAAAGGCTCCAAGAGTGATCAAGGTCAGAGAGACAATCACCCAAAGCTGGGGCAGCCATCTGGCTCCTCCCATTGCATCACCCTGACTTCCACCTTCAACCCACCCATCCACATTCTGAACTCCTAGCCTTCTCTTTTCAATTGATACCTTTTTTTTTTAACATGGTGTCATTTTTTAAACACCTTTATTTTGTTTATTTTTTATTTATTTTTATATGGTGCTAGGGATCAAACTCAGTGCCTCATGCATGCTAGGCAAGTGCTCTACCACTGAACCACAACCCCAGCCCTCAACGGATATCTTAACATTGCAAATTGCATCATACAATCTGCACATATGACCCATTACATGATTTAAAGCAAGGCTTTCTTTTGCTAAACATAGAAATAGAAGGAAGAAAAGGAGACAAGGGGAGAAAAAGATGGGGACAGAGAGAAAAGGATGGGGGCAAAGAGAAAAAGATGGGAGCAGAGACAAAAAGGGAAAAGAAAACTGGAATTATTATACCATAGGTAACAATATTTCTCCCTTCCTATGCATGAATGAGTTCTCCTTTTGAGAAAAAATATAAAAATAAAAAAATATGTTACAGACCAGAAGTCTCGTTTCTACTCTGCTCCCCAGAGGTAACCAATGTTCTAGATTCATAGTCTTCAAGTCATTTTTTTTTGCATTTACATGAATATATATATATATATATATATATATATATATATACTTATTCTAACATTATCATTCTGCGGCATTATTTTCTCATTCGACAATATGCCTTGCAAACCTTTTCATCTTAGTAAATGCAGATTTAGCTCACTTATTCCAAGTCCTGCAGATGGCTACAGTTTATTTAGCCATTTTCCAGAGGAAGGAGCACCAACTTGCAGTCCCACCTACAATGTTGGAAAATATATTTTTACTTTAACCCCAGTATATCTTCATTGCTTCAATCTCCTTTGTTTCAAGTAAGGATAGATATCTACTGCCAACTTGTCGCCCAAATGACTCTACCAATTTATATTACCACCAGCAATTCATACATTAATCACTTTTAAATATATGTATATAGTATTCAAGAAGGCATGAAGTCATTTACTATATCTGCAGTATAATAAGTATAATCTGCAGTATAATTGTTGAAGTATAACACTTCAACAATTTTTTTCCCCCGGTACTAGGTATTGAACCCAGTGTCACTCTATCACTGAGTTACATCTCAGGTCCTTTTTATTTTTTATTTTGAGACAGGATCTCACAAAGTTGCTGAGGCTGGCCTAGAACTTGCAATCCTCCTGCCTTAGCCTCCTGAGTAAACTGGAATTAAAGGCATGCGCCATCGTCCTCAGCACTTCAACATCATTTTGGGGAGGTAGGTACCGGGGATTGAATTCAGAGGCACTTGACCACTGAGCCACATCCCTAACCCTCTTTTGTATTTTATTTAGAGACAGGGTCTCACTGAGTTGCTTAGTGCCTCATTTTTGCTGAGGCTGGCTTTGAACTCTTGATTCTCCTGCCTCAGCCGCCGGAGCCGCTGGGATTACAGGCATGCACTACCTTACCTAGCTTTAACATCATTTTTAAATGCACATATTATAGCTCCATTCAGAGCACTAGTCTAATATATTGAAATCACACCATTGCTTCTGCAAAGCCCATCTACCAAGGCCTGCTGCTGCCACTGTCCCTCTTGAAGACAGCAATGTTTGTAAAGGAAAAGCCCAAATTCAAGAGAGATTCTCCTCAAAACAAAAAGAGGAAGGAACGCTAAATGAAATATAGAAAAGTAAATGAGTCATAGTTAAAAGAGACTCAGTGGCTCCATCTCTACTGAGAAATGAACTTTCTTTCAAAACTCTGCAGGTCACTGAAGCTGTAGAATATTTCGGTCAGGGCACATTTTTAAAGCTTATTACTGGATTATCCTTTGGGGAACTGGTTTGTTTAATGCTTCCAGATTTTTTTTTTTTTAATTAAAGGAAAAGCACAACTTCAAAATGTATTAATTATTTCCTTTAAAAATTCCTCATTCTATGAATTCCAACATAACATGTGCTCCAAAATAATCTCAAGAACACACTGCAATCTCATCCCGAGACATCAAAATGTGCACTTTCCCGGAAAAAGGGTACATACTAGCAAAACCACAGGGTGGAAACTTTCTAAACAGTAGTTTCATAAACAGCTAAGGACTTTTTCCCTGCTTGAGTAAATTGTGCATCGTGATTGTATGTCGATCACTAACTCTCCATTCTACTATCCCACTCCTGCTTCTGGTGTGACCAACTGTCCTAGTTTGCCTGACATTGAAAGGGGTTCCCAGGGCATAGGACTTTCAGTTTTAAAATCAGGAAAATTTCAAACAAAACTCAGATGAGTTTGGTCACCCAACTCAGAAGGCTTCTTGCAAAAACCTTCTACCCCAGCCCACTAGTGCTAACTCCATGCAGAGTGCTAACAACACCCTCAAAAAACTGCACACATCACTGTTATGTTATGGCCCTCACTACCCAGATGACATTTTCCAGATCTGGTCTCTGTGACAGGCCCATATTAGTGTGCCCATCTAAATGCTAAATAGTATCTAAATGCTTAGATAAACAGACAGGCAGACAGGTTCTACCCTACAGATGGTGGGTCATGGACTTGGGCATGTAAAGAAAGCATATACTTTGTTGAAGATTTTGGGGGACTGAAGGGATAGGTAAGAGATCATGGGCTGATTTTATGCATGAGCCTATATGCTGTGAGACTTTTTCAGCACTAGTTAAGTTCCTGAGTTGCCTGAGTTTCTCCCCAAAAGAGTCTCCAAAGGGCAAGTCCAGTGGTTAAAAGACAGACTCCACCTTTCTCCAAAGTGGTTCATCTATGTGAGTGGGGCCTTAAAGCTCAAAACATAAAAAGAAACTCAATTCAATAAAATGTGTATGTGGAGGGCTGGGCTATGGCTCAGTGATAGAGCACTCGCCTAGCACATGTGAGGCACTGGGTTCGATCCTCAGCACATAAAAATGAAATAAAGATATTGTGTCCACCTACAACTAAAAAATAAATATTAAAAAATATCTGTATGTGGAAAAAAAACAGTTCAAAGGTGAATAAGTAAAATGCTATGAAAGGAAATGATGTGTTCTTGGAAGAGATATTCTTTCTTGGCTGAAGCAAAGGATAATGAAAAGATCTGAGGCAATAGTCAAACACTGTTTGTGGAAGTTACATCAATGGAGTCTCTTTAGTGGGCCATTTAGCAACAATAATCAGTATTTAAAGTGAACGATCTCCTTCACACAACAACTCAACTAAAATTAGGACTTTAAAAAGTGCATCCAGATGCAGATATGAGGATATTCACTGCATGACTCTTCAAAAACCAAAATGAAAACAATAAAACAAACAAACTGTTCATTGATATGGGGTTGACTGGTTAAATGACTTATGGCCAATCCATTAAATGGGAAAATATGCAGACGTTGTAAGAGGAAGGCATCTCTATCTGAGTTGATATGGAACCATCCCCAAGACATATTTAGTGCAATAAGCAAGATGTAGAAGGTTTTGGATAGTGTAATCTTGATTGGGTTGAAAAAAAAAAGTTTTGAGTGTTTGAGAATGCACTATACATACATACTTTACATAAACACACAAATACCTGTAGTTCTACATGCCTAAGAAATGTCTGGAAAGATACAGGAGAGAAGGAATTTTTTACTTTAGAGCTCAGTACTCCAGTTTGTTTGTTTGTTTGTTTTTTACCATGTATTGTGTTATTACTTTTATAATAAACAACAATACCAAAAACTATTTTAAACGATTTTTTTTTCACATCATGAGTTTTATCTATGGGCAAGATGGTCCCAGTACAGGAGTTTTAAGTTAAAGAATAACTGAATAATAAATATCTATAGTATGACAAAAGGTACTTACAGTGGCATTTATACTTTAAGAGAACTCTCTAGGTAGATAGTCCATATGACCAAGTTCTAACTCCACCTCTTCCATTTTCTTGGCTTCATCAACCTACATAAGTTGTGTATGCCCTAATGTCCTCCTCTATCAAGTGAATATAAAAAGTAGCACCCACTGCCTAGAGTGAGTATAGAGTACATAGCAGAGCTTCAACACATGGCAAATAACTCACAGTAGCCAGTAGTAACTGAACTTGTACAAGTGTCATGATACCCTTAAGACCCATTAAGAAGGTTCTAAATCCCTTTCCCAGTCTTCTCCTGATTTGACATCAATTCCTTTAACTTTTTCTCAAAATTGGTAATGATTAGTTTCTTATAAAATAAATAATTAGACCTGTTTTCTTATTATTAGAATTGAAGGAGATGTTTATCAACAAGTTATTTATCAAACAAAGTGTTTATCACAATATAAGAGTAAGATAAGCTCAGGTGTGTCCTGTGATAGCATCAGAAGATAAGTAGAGCCCTGGGAGCACAGAGGAAGAGAGTTTTTGCTAAATTCTTCAAATCTACATTCAATAGTCAGGTGATCAATTTCTTTTCTGAGAATAGAATATTCTCCACATTGCCAGAGCAAATTTTGTGGTTTATAAATATTCTAAAAAATAAGGTTGCCAGGTGTAGTGGCACTTGCCTGCAATCTCAATGACTCAGGAAGCTGAGGCAGGAGGATTGCAAGTTCAAAGCCAGCCTCAGCAACTTAGCAAAACCCTAAGCAACTTCGTGAGACCCTGTCTCAAAACAAAAAATAAAAAGGGCTGAAGATTTGTCTCAGTGGTTAAGTTCCCCAGTACCAAAAATAAAATAAAATAAAGAATAGGTCTATCGTATGTATCTGCTGGCCTAATCAGCCACATACACTGTATTTGAACATCAACGGTTCATTTCTTTAAAAAAAGCCTTCAAGGGCTGGGGTTGTGGCTCAGTGGCAGAGTGCTTGCCTAGCATGTGTGAGGCACTGGGTTTGATTCTCAGCACTATGTTTCAATAAATAAAATAAAGGTCCATTGACAACTAAAAAAAAAATTTTTAAAAAAGAAAAAGAAAAAAAGAAAAGCTTTTGACACTCACTACGTAGTAACAGCTCTAACAGGAATAGGTTAAAAGTAAAGACAAGATGTCCTCTCATCCAGTAGTCTTGGGCTGGGTTGTTCAAGGTGGGCTCAGCACACTTATGCATTAACTTTTTTTGGCCTAAATAACCAGGCTTGACACTCTCTGAAGACCTCAGACTCCACAGATAATTACCATGCAGGATGTGTAAAAACCTATTATCCATCTGTCATTTCTTCCTTAATCCTGGTGAAATCCTTAGTATTTCCCAGTATTTTTCACTTAAAATTGGAGACATCAGTTACTACTGGTGTTTTTCCTTGTTGAAAATGTCCAGACCTACTCCAGCCCATCCTCTGTGAGCACCTGTATATACCTGATAGCATGTTCCACCCGGTTTTACAATAGGGATAGTGTGGCTTCTTCCACTAACTGCATTTTTTCATGGTATCTCTGAACAACAGAGGGCCTAGTTTTCTTGAGCAACTCACCTGGTCATATAAATAGAAGGGGGCTGGGTACCATGCATGCCTGTAACCTCAGCTACTTGGGAGGCTAAGGCAGGACAACTGCAAGTTTCAGGCCAGTCTGGACAACTTAGGCAGACCTTGTCTCAAAAGAACTTTTTGCTCAGTTCAATCCAAAGAACTGGAAGGAGGAAGAGTTGGTGGTGGAGGAGGAGGAGATGGAGGAGGAGGAGGAGAAGATGGAGGAGATGGAGGAGGAGGAGGAAGAGGAAGAAGAGGAGGAGGAGGAGGAGGAGGAGGAGGAGGAAGAAGAGCTGGTGTGGAAGGCTGCCATGAATTTCAGTACTGAAGGGAGAGTCAAGACTTCTGGATTGTGACCCTAGACATACCACAATGTGGGGATGACAGCTCTCTCAAGAGCCTGTTTTTCTGGTCTTAGGAATAAAAAGACACGGACTAGAGAATTGTCCAGGCAATAAGCACCTGACTCCTGCCAAGGACATTTTCTATGGCAAATCCAAGGGGAAAAATCCTAAATAACAACCTCAAATTCACAATGACTCAAATCCACAGTTCCTGTTTTTTGTGTTCGGGCAGTGAAAAGATAAGCCACACAAATGACCGAGCAAAGTCCTACATTTGGTACCAGAATCATGAGCCACAGGGACAGAGAAAAACAGAGGCATTTCCTCTTCCAGAGACAACTTTTCACTCCCACAACGACTGAAATCCCGGGATTCTGCATTGGAGAAGTTTCTGTTTGCCCATATCTAGGGACCCAGGCAAGTCCAGAAAATCCGCATGCTATCATTTCCAAACTTCTCTTTGACACCTAGACTTAAGAACTGGAAAAAGCACAGGCCTGAGGGAGATGAATTTGAAGCTGGCACAAGAGTAGGAATATTAAAGGGAAGAAAAAAGAACTTGTAGTAATTAACCTGATTCTGGACAAAAATAAAATCGACCGTGATTGCCATATTCTTGGGGGCGGGACAAATCAGCGTGGTGGGAGAGTCCAGCCCCTAAGACCTGCGGGGGACTTCCCCCTTTCCCAGTGCTCCGAAAGCAGGTATTCAGGGCAAAAACGCACAATGCGACCCAAGTGCGTCACGCCACAGAGATCCCTAGGGGAGGAAGGGAGTTGTCCCAGGGGATTCACCGCCCCCAACTGACCCAAACTGGGAGAATGGACGAACAAGGACTCCAGGCTCCGGGACGTATGGAGACCAAACAAGACAATAGAGCCATCAGAAGGAAATGACAGAAGGAGGAGGAGGAGGAGGATCCCAGATGTCCAGATTAGGGACAGAAGAGGAGTACAGACCAAGAACTGGAAGGAGCACTCAAAGGAGGGGGCGTGGATCAACTCTGGCCCTGGAACGAGAATGGCTCCTATACACACAGCGAACGTCCAGCTTCCAGGCGCGGCGGCGCATGGGGACAGCCCCCTCCCGCCGGCCCTCCTGCCATCCCCTCTCCCGCGACCCGCACCGTATTGTAGAACTCGGCGATGGCAGGCACGATGGTGTAGTTGTCCTCGCACCAGTCCACCTCCGAGCTACCAGCCTGCAGCTGGTCCCACCAGTGCGGGGCGCCCATGGCCGCTCTGGGGCATTGGAGCAGCCGCTCCTGTAGCCGAGAATAGCCCAGATCTGCTGTCTGAGGCAAACTGCCGCGGCCGCGGCTTTATGCAGTACCCAGCACCTCCGGATGTGGCGCCTCCCCCGCCGGCCTCCAGGCGCCCGGCTCCGCCCGCTGGACTAGACCCTCTCACAGACCCCTCCCCCGGCTCCGCCCTCTGGGGAGGAGCCCTCGGGTGCTCGGCGGTCACGCCCACTAGGGGCGGGGTCCACGTGGAAGGAGGGGCCTAGGAGGGGTGAGCAAAGGCAGCGACCTACTTCCTGCAGACACCTGCCGGCACCAGTGCTCACCTCTGGTGGTAAAGGACTTAGTTGTCCGTCCCTTGCGCACCCTGGCTCAGACTCACAGGCGCCCATGTGTTTTGCAAAAGAAAACCAAAGCCCTCCCTGGCAAAAATTAAAATGAGAAACACAGGATGACCCAGACCCCTTTGAACTCTAAGGGAGTTTGCAGCGATTTGGCTTGGTCCTGCGTGAGACTGCAGTGCTACCGCCTAAGAATTGCCCTTGGTCTCCCTGAAACCCTAGCGACTTGCTACAGTCGCTGGGACAGGAAGATCTTCCAAGCTTCAGGAAGGCTTAACGACCGTCCAACGCAGCCTGGGCCGCCCACTCCCCAGTGGAGAACGTCTGCAATTTCCATTTTGTTCCTATCCTTGATCTCTAAGGCTCCAGCGTTAGACTTTGATCCATTTTGTCCCATCCTCGCAGATGTCTGACACCTATAAAAACTTAAATTGAGCAACAAATATACCACTTAATAGTAACTTTAAAATGACAATTTTATTTTTAGAGGCCTATTTTGAGAAAAGTAATAGATGAATGATTAAAGCAATTGAAAATATTTTTAAATTCATTGTAAAAATGGCATAAACTTGGCTGCAAAAGTTACTTCTAAATGTTCAACTGAACAAAATATTACATAACTTATGTGTAATATTTAAGAAGTGCATCCATGAAAGTATAATCTAGGACTAGGTTGTCATTTTATTTTGAGGAAGCACTGTAATTTCAAATTATCAATGGTGGAAAATAGATGTCCTATAAATGGGACAATTTATATTGTATAGTAATGTGCAGTGTACTCCCTGAATGTTGTGGGCAGCAGAAATGACACCTGCCCTCATTATTTTCTGTACATCAAAATTAATCTTTGCCCCTCTCAACCCTGCCTTGAGATTTAAGAGACTGATCTCTAAAGGCCAAGTCAACAGGGCTTTGTTTTCCCTCTAGTTTCATGTTGGACTTGCCCAATGGAAGGCACTGCCAGAAATGAGAGAAGAGGTCAGAGTATTTATTCTCCATAAGCCTGTGTAACCGGCTGCAGATTGGCTAAGGCCAAATCTCTATCCAGAGCCACAGCTTCTTCTGCTTGGCACTCACTTTGTAAAAGTTCCTTCTTTCATTCCCTTGAAACACCCCTTGTATGCCGTTATTTTTCTGCTGAGGCCCTGGCTAGTACACTGACTTTGAGAAATAGTCTCAAGCCAGATATATAAACAATATTTTTGTGCTATGCTGTAACCAAAAGTACAATGGATGCATAGATGGATATTTCTAGTTGTCTACTCACATCCATTTTCTTTTTCTTCCTTATGTGGAGTGTACTGCACTGCTTCCTGCTAAACTCCAATATGTTGCTACTTGTGGCTATTTGTTGACAAGTTGTAACCTGTGTTTTCATGTTTTTTCTAAAGAGTTCTTGTACTCATTATTGTGCACTCATCAAAAGCAGATGAGACTGTGGAACAGATTCTTTGAAGATTGTAATAAAGTGTCATATAGATAATTATGACCATAATATATAGTATTTATTTGTATTCTAGAAATACACAGAAAAATGTGATATGATTTGAATGAATATTTTTGAGGATCATTAGATTATTTTTTGTTTAGTTCATCTTGCTGCAGATGTCAAGAAAACATGTTCAAGCACTAATCCCAGAAGAAATTGAGAGTCTGTTGGATGAATGTTCTGAAGACGGAAATATTGAAGCAGCTGACATAATTATCCTACCGGACATAAAAAATATAACGGATAATGGTAAAACCGACGACAAATCCACTGACTCAATAGTGAAAGATGTTTCAGGTCCTCTGGAATTACATTTTGAAACATCTAACCAAAATGCAGAAATAGAAAGTATGAATGAGAGGGAAGATGTTGATGTTTTCACTACTGATATTCCTATCTATTCTCAGGGGCGGTGGACAGAAAACAAGGCAGACATCACTAGATAAGAAGCTAGAAGTTTGTGATTCCATAACTATTTGAAGAGCAACAGCTCCAAAATACTCTAGAGATATTCAAGAAACCATTTATTCTGAGGGCTTGAGAAAAATGGAAATTACCTGCCATTTTCAAATCCAGTGGAGATATATATTTATATATATTTATATATATATATATAAGTTATAGGTGGACACAATGTCTTTTTATTTTATATTTATGTGGTGCTGAGGATTGAACCCAGTGCCTCACACATGGTAGGCAAGCGTTCTCTGAGCCACAACCCCAGCCCAGTGGAGATTTTTAAAGAAATATTGACACCTGAAACATATTATCATATTGTAAAAGAAACTGTTTTTTTCTGAAGAAAGTAAGAATACATCTGAGTACTCAGTGTAGATAAGTTAAAAACATTTTTTTTTGGAATTCTTACATTTCCAGGTTATCATAAACTACCTTCCATAAGAAACTAAAGGTTAAATGATGAAGATTTGGATATGTCATAAAAAATGTAATGTCCAGAAATAATTTTCAGGAGCTAAAAATATCATACATTTTTATAACGATAATGAATAGCAAGAGGCCATTGAAGCCTGGCACAATGGCACATGCCTGTAATCCTGGCAACTCGAGGCCAGTCTCAACAATTTAGCAAGGCCCTAAGCAACCTAGAGAAACCTTGCCTCAAAATAAAAAATAAAAAAGGGCTGGGGACTTAGCTCAGTGGTAAAGCGCCCCTGGATTCAATCCCCAGTACTAAAAAAGAGAGATTATTGAAGATAAAGTTTTTAAAAGTCATTGTCTAATAAATATGATTCAAAAGTCAGACATGAATTTGGTATATTTGAAGAATGTGTGACAATATATGAAGTGATTTTGATTATCAGCTATTATAGCCACAATCCACTGAAACAATTTATAAGCGGGAAAGCCATAAAATTTGGTTATAAATTCTGGGCAATATGCAGAGAATTGGGATATTGCTATGACTCTAACTTGTTTTGTGGGAAAAGTACTCAAGAAGGATCCAACAATGATCTTTAGCTGGGCAGCAATGCTTGAAGTGGTAGAGAATTCACAATCTTACACTGCTTTTTTTCAACAATCTATTCACGGTTAATTTACTTGTCAGTAAACCTTTGAAATATTGGATTCAAAGCTATAGGTATAATGGGGAAAAAATGGACTAAAAAAATGTCCTCTGAAACTGACAACATGGATGTAAAAGCAAACGAGATTCCTATGATTGCAGGTTTGATACAAATAATGAAATTCTCATTGTAAAATGGTTAGATAGTAAATGTGTTGGAATGAATGATGAGACAGTGGAATCACTTGGCAAAGTTCAACAATAGAAAAAAGAAAGAGTAAGGTCAATGTGTCTCAACCAAAAATAATGGGTACCTAAAACAACTCGGTGGTGTAGAGAAACAAAATAGTTTGGTTTTTAAATATCCCACTTCCATTAGAGTAAAATTTGTTCATAATTGTTATGTGTATCATAAATGCATGGATTATTCACAAACTTGTGAACAAAAACAAAAAAAAATCTCATAAATTTGCTGGAAAGAGACATCTGTTTAGCATTCCTAAAACAATGCAGTAAGGACCCATCAGGAGGAAGAACACTTAGTACTCCCAGACTGTCAGCTGTCCCAGATACTATAAAATTTTGTTTTCAGTACTAGGGATTGAACCAAGGGGTGCTCTGCCGGATTTCTGTTCTTGCGACTAAAAGGCTCAGGGGTCACTCTAGTTAAACTGGGCTAACTGGGCTGCACGAAATAACCATACAAGAGACACAAATACCTTTTTCTTTGAGGTCGATGTGACGGCTCCTCTGACCTTAAGGGTCCGCAGAAAGGGAGAGAGCTCGAGAGCACACGCTGACCCCTTTTATTGAGGAGAAGCTATTCAAATGAGGCAAGGGGTCAGGTTTCAGGGGGCTGAGTCTATCTTCATGATGTCCACTGTCAGCAGGTTGACTGACACCTGGGTAGGCCACACCCAAAGGCACAGTAAGAGGAGGGGACCCACACAAGGCACTTCCATGGAAGATTCTATCCTAAACAAGGCAAGGGATTATATTACAAAGGAACAGGTGAGCATAGCTTCACCCATGGGGCTGTAGCAAGGCACACCCATTTCTGTGACTGAGTGCCTCAGCACCCAGCTGGGGAGTGTAACTCAGTCACCCGTAAGGTTGGCCTCCCACAGTGCTCTACCACCAACCCACACCCCCAAGCTCTTTTTTGTGAGACAGGGTCTCGCTAAGTTGCCTAGGCTAATATTATCTGTGATTCTGCCTCAGATAAGAGGCCATATTCTTAAACAATGATGATAATGTAAAATCAAGCCATATCATGGGAAAATTGCTATCATGACATGACAACATACTGTCTAAAATCTAATGTAACCTTTTATTTGAAGGTTTTGCTCCTTCTCACCAAAAATAATTGTTGAGGGTCAAAAAAGTCACTTTTCAATATGTCAAAATGCATTCTATTGTCATATACAACTGACTAAAACAAATTTAAAAAAAAATAGAAGGAAGACCAATAGGAGAGAAGAAGGAGATCAAGAGTAGGGAGGAGAGAGAAAGGGGAGGTACTGGGGGAATTTAAATTGATCAAATTATACTGCTTTATTGTGTGCACATATGAATATACTATAACATCCCACTGTTATGTATAATCAGAATATGCCCAATAAAAAGGAAAACAATTTAAGTTAGAAAAAAAAGAAAATCACTTTTTTTTTAATTCTCTCTCTTTTTTTTTAAGAGAGAGAGAGAAT